ACGTGAGCGATCCAGCGGTCTGGCCAACCCAGGGCTGAGGATCAGACGCGATAAGCCAGACACGAAGCGAGTTCCATTTCCAGATCAAATGCATCATGCCACCTACGATGAAGAGGAACCCCCCAATGAAAGCTCGCCTACTAAAGGGCTTTCCTAGAACCTCATCATCATAAGGAATCGCATGGGGCCGCTTGGGCGCTGGCAAATGCCGAAGTCGTGCAGCACCGGGGACCATAATACTGAAGAGGTTGAGGATCAACTCATCAGAAACAACAGGAGCCAGCCACTTGCGTAGAAGGAAAGTCGCTGGGTAAAATTCAGTGGCAACCAAAGCCTGTCCTATGTGGGCACTGTTTGTGGTATCGTTGGCCCGGCCGCGCCTTGCTGATTGGACGTACTCAAAGATGGTCTCAATGTCGCCATCACCGAGGCCATTCAGGCCATCTAGTCGAGAGTCTCTGACTTTTGCGAGGCCATTTATGAACTCCGCGGCTGATTCAATTGCGTTGTTGCCACCTTGGGCTGTAAGCGGATTGTTCTGCATCGAGCTGTCAGCCTTGCCCACAATCTCACGGACCAATCTACTATGAGTAGTTCCGCAGCCAGAAAATCATGGTGGTAACTCACCTTATGGCATGAATCGCCAAGAACAATTATCCGATCGAAAAACCACTTCTCGCGAACATATTCGTGAAGAGGCGTCAGCGTGGAGTTGAGCCTCTTCGAGAAGACATCACCCAGGACAACATGTTCACACACTGGAAGCTTTGAATATTTTTCAAAGACCTCCTCCTCATCTTCCTTAGTGTACTTCTTGATCTCGCTTCCGTAAAGCGTCTTGGGGAGCCGAATAAAGAAGAAAAAGTAGTCTTTCTTATCAGGGCCTGGGACATGTAGCTGCGTCCAGTTAGTGCCGAGCACGACGATTACCCCATCGTTGCGAAGATGGTCAACATTTTGAGAAACCCCAAAACTACATATGTATGAACAACTGGCCAGTTTCTCCGGGTCATCGTGCTGCGAGAAGTGGCTAGGCTCAGTATCCTCAGCTAGACGATGCATCTCGTCTCTAACGCGACTATGCACCCCATCCGCACCAACGAGCAACGTTCCGGTGTGAACATGGCCATCCGCGGTTGTGACCTCGACACCTCCGGATATGAGACTGACATGACGGACAACCTTGTTGACGAGAACTTTTTCTTTGTGCTTGAGGTTGTGGTAGAGAAGCTCTAGCAGCCAGTGTCGGTCGAAGAAAACAAGAGGGTAGGCGAACCTCCTTTTGTAATGCTGAGCGAAATCTCCGACCGAGGCGAGTTCAGTGCCATCGGAGTCATGGAGGGCACTCCGGCCTAACCACACTTGAGGGATTGCCTTGACACCCTCGTACAATCCGAGCTGGTCGAGAATGCGTAGCGTGTTAGGAAATAGACCTATACCGAAACCAATAGCGGGAGTGGGATGACCTCGTGCTTCAAGGAGAACGTAGTCAATGTCGAGTTGCTCTAGCATGTTTGCCAGTGTCAACCCATGGATGCCCCCTCCGGCAATTATTATCTTGCATTGCTTTTTAGATTCCATGTTCGAAACAAGATGGCGGTAATGAAGGCAAGGCGAGTTTAATTTGCAGCGATTAGAGGCAGGACCAACATTGGTAGAAGAGATATGTGTGAACAACTAGGTTCCCTCTTCGCTAATATATTTGCCTCAAGTCCCGATGACCGCATCCTTATACGCTTTCAGAGAGTCCATGCAACGGTAGGATGCGGGGATTGAGAACGCATTGATTGCTCCTCTATACTGTGACCTTGTTCGCTGCCAAGGCTATCCTATATATGCAATCAGACTCTACTTGTTTCCCAATCAGGCAGAACAAATCACTCGACCAGCCCAATTTTTCTCTGAATGCTATTCCCGTGACAATTTCCGATTAATGTACAGCTACAAGCAGAAATGCGCATAAAAAGCATGAACTTGTGCAGATAGGTTGATAACGCCGAAAGTTCTTATCAAACCTGGTGCCAGTAAAAATCATGACGCCTTCCTCGATAATAAGTTTCGCGATATGTCTCCGAAATTCATTTGATGTATTTAATACATTTGATGTAGGCTATTGTGCATAGTATTATGTTATTGCGCCACTAGAGAGGAATTCAAAATATTGACGCTTAACACATCTATTATCCCTACTATCATCCCATCCCAAATCTTACTGCAGCTGCACCGCGGGTCATACTTAAGAGTATCATTGAGGTCTACGGAAATTTCATGTTCACGCTGGCATGATGTTACAGAAGAGCACGTTCATCACCAGCCCTCCACCCACATATGCAACATATATATCGATATAACTCCTGCCATTACAGAAAGATTCAGTCCAGCTTGAAGGCCAAGCGTGTAGTCAGACAAGGCAAGCCGGATCCAGTGACTGCAGTACAGGACAAGGCTTATGAACCGAATCGAGCCAAAATGCTGTGGTTCTTGAGTCTCGTTCCTGCCATATTCTAGTCAAAAAAGTCCTGCCGGCCTTCTTTAGCACGGGAGTGACATTATCCACAAACTCCTCCACCTGATACAAGGCCTTGCCTCGCGCACTAGGGTCTCGCAGTTCGACCGCGGCAACTAGGAACGGCAGTGTCACGAAACATATGAGGCGCTTCGTGATCCGCTGCGCTATGTTGAGTTCCATCATGATCTCACTCGCCCAGATGTCCGCCTGCGCATCCTGCTCACCAAAGCTGTACCGCAGCCTGTGAGCGACAAGCAGAGCTGCTAGCTGATACACCTTGGCCTGGGCAAGGAGGTTGACAGCATCGGCCGTTGAGAACCGATTGATGAGCTCGCCGTCCAAACAAGACGGTTGCCACTCTTCCAACGACACTTGTATCTCGTCCAGTTTATGGTACATCTTTTCCAAGCTGCCTTTATCTGTTGCCTTGGCTAATGAATGGCTGACCACGCACAGGTCGTAGTAATATGGAAGCAAAGGCGAGCAGAGACCCAGATGACGGTCCACTCCTCTGCTATTTGACGGTTGGACTCTGAGAGTTGGCTTTCGGCGATAGACAAGACAGTCCATCATTTCCAGCAGGGCCAGAAATCCCTGTCGCGTTTCCAGGGCCGTATCGGGAACCTCACTCGTCACGAACGGAGATGTTGTGCTAAGGCAATAGTGGCAGACATCGGCGACACCAAGACCAACGGTCGAGGATATCGATATTGCAAGCATCATTCCTATAGTAAGGCATAGCGCCGCTTCCTCTGGATTTGAGACGGGAAGGGAGCGCAATGTATTGATAGCTGATGATGTATGTTGAATGCTCGTCAGACTATCACTCTCGGTTTCCCTGCTTAGCTGTATGTTCTTGAGGGCCATAGCACACGCGAGATACGCATCCTTGAGTACTGGTAGCCCTCCTGGGAGTTGTTCCATCAATGATTGCTGCTCAGCGATCTGGAAGCTTGGACACACCACGTAGCAGTCCAGGGTTTCGGGAGTGTCTAGGAGAAGGAGCAGTAATTCTCTCTGGCCCGGGAGAAGATCCGCATGGCTATTTAACAAGGCGCTAATGTCCTGAAGGTCCGTATCGATATCTGATCCGGCCTTTGTTGATAATCTGGTGGATGCTGAGCGAGACTGATGTGTTATCCTTCGGCCTGCAGGACGGTACGGACGGAGATTTGAACAGACCAGGCCAAGCCTATCGCACCGACTGCAAGAGGTTGCGGTAGGCGCTCGCGCGCATCGTGCTTTAAGCTCATAGCACCGATCACAAGCGGTCCTCAATTGCCTTGACTTGGAGACGGGCATGGCCAATTAATCATCAGACGTTGCATGAATTATTACAGTCAGAGCTCAACACTTCGCGAATTGGTTGAGTAGTCATCAGCACTAAATATGGTCACGTGATCTCATTTTTGCGCTCCTCGGGTGCTTTTGGTCTTCGGTAGGTAACGAGCGGCACGATAATTCACTGTTATATGAGAATGAAAAATATTCTACATGAAGAGCAGACACCTAGGCACTCGATTTTGGTACTGAAGTGCTGCCTGAGAATGTCGCCCAGAGCTGCGACATCCCTACCACCAAAAACCATTGGGTTTCTTTTCAATTGAACCAATTCATTGACAGCTTGCGATGATAACGAAACCTCGAAGACCACTTTTCAGACATAAAATAATCAATCAATCATACATCATCCTAATTCAAGTATCTCAAGTCAAGTGATTGATCGCCGATGCAGCCCGCTTCTGACGTCGATGGGCATGAGGCGACTGGTCTAGGTTAGGTATAGGTTAGCCCAGCCACTTTTTCCCCCCAATTAACCAGAGAGTTTTAATTTACTTGATTTAGTAACAATCTCTATATATAATATAAAATATAGTAAAAATCAAAAGAATATATAGTAAATATTTTATAAGTTTATAAAAAATAGTTTTTATAAAAATATCTATTTAAATAATAATCTACTTAATTAATAAAAATCTTATTTCTATTATTTATTAATATAGTTATAATAATATATATTATAAACTTAAGCTAATAAGATATACTTAATTATTTATATTCTACTTAAGCCTTAATTATTAATTATAAAAAGAAGTATTAGTAGAAAGAACCTTTTTAATTTCAGCTTAAATAACTCAAAAATACAGGGAATATGTCAGCCAGCGTAGCGTTATTCCGTTCTTGAAATAAAAAACAAAAGGACCGCTGATCGGTTCGTAAAAGAGTAGCATTAGTGGTTAGAATAATGGCGACCCTGGTAAAACGGCGAACGCCGTCCTAAATGACCTGCCTATTAGGTGATGCACCTTTAGTTATTTAATACTTGCAAGCCGGGCTTATTTCTCTTTCCAGACCGGTAGCTAGAGGTTTATCTATCTGCCGCTTTCCCTTTTCCCCAAGCCCCAAAACCAGGGATTTCACTCAAACATTTCTCAACCTGAAAGACGGCCGCCCCTCGCAAAGAGTCGACTTGCCAAACAGCTCAAGAAACATGGCACAACAAGCCTTTTCGTCTAAAACACCATCCATATTTCGCCCTCCTTGCTCGTTGCATTCAGATGATGCTTGGGAGCCAACCCTGGGCGCGTGCCAACAACATTACGACTTCTCCTTGTTATTTGCACAGTCCATTCTTTCGGCTTTACCAGCTCTTCTGTTCTCGATTCTAGCAGCAATCCGGACATGGTCGCTTATCCGTAGGGAACACAGAGTCCAGAACGGTGCAGCCTTGGTAGCAAAGCAGATTCTGATCTTTGCATTATGGGCGACACACATAGCACTGGTGGTCCTCTGGTCGCGCGAGCCCTCCATTAGAACACGAATGTCTCTCCCAATGGCCGCTGTTTATCTTTTTGCCACCACGGTAACAGCACCCCTATCTTGGTTCGAGCACACGAAGACCATCAAACCATCTCTCCTGATATGTTCATATCTCATCCTCTCAGTTCTTCTCGACATCACACAAATTCGAACGTTATGGGCGAGACTCGACGACGACTACGTACTCGTGGCCGTATTTACCGTCTCGTACGCCCTCCGAGTCATTATACTATTAGTAGAATCTTTACCAAAGAACTTGATACGAGAGACCGACATGTCTCGAAGCCCTGAGGATAAGTGCGGCGTCATCTCACGAAGTCTCTTTCTTTGGATGATTCCACTGCTGTACAAGGGATATAAACAATTACTCGGGGTGAATGATCTTTATGCCCCTCCCATCGATGCCGCTCCTGAAAATTTGGAAGAGAAACTATGGCGCGGCTGGTCGAATTGTGAGTTTACTAGCCCTCATTGTGAAAAGGGGGGCATATCAGCTACTAACCTCGTGGCTCTGGATATCTAGCCAACCCAGGTGCCAAATACAGGCTGTTATCCGTTACTGCGAAAGCACTCTTGCCACGATTACTCGCTCCAATCGTTCCAAGGCTCTGTGTTGTGGGCTTCATGGTCGCCCAGCCAGTACTTCTATCACTCCTTATTCGATTCCTCAGCGACAACGGCGACTCTCGGAACGACGGATACAATTTGCTAGCCGCTTATGCCCTCGTATACATTGGTTTCGCGGTTGCAAATGCGTGGTACTTTCATCAAGCCTTTAAATTCATCACTTGTGTCCGGGGAGGTCTCGTGGCCCTTGTCTATGACCGCACAATGAGTTTGAGTACCTCTGCCATTGATAAGTCGTCAGCCGTCACGGTTATGAGCGCCGATATTGAGCGAATCACAATCGGGCTCAAGAATATACATGACCTCTGGGCTAATGTCATCCAAGTCTCCCTCGCCGCATGGCTGCTAGAAAGACAGACTGGTGTTGCCATCATCCTACCGTTGCTTGTTGCTGCCTCGTGTGGCTACGCGACCTTGAAGATCAGTGCGGCCGCGGGTGGGCAACAGGCTAACTGGCTAAAGTGTATCGAGAAGCGCGTGGATGTTACCAGCCGAACACTATCGTCAATGAGAGGCATAAAGGTTTCCGGTTTTGCAAACACCTTGATAAATGTCATACAGAGCTTGAGGGGTGAAGAACTACAGGCCGCTTCCAAATTTCGATGGTGGCAGGTCGGTGCACTCGTCATGGGATTTTTCCCCGTCATGATCAGCCCTGTTCTTACTCTTGCGGTCTTCATTTTTGCGGCCGACAAAAGCTCACAGCCTTTGGATGCCTCGAGAATGTTTGTGTCATTGTCAACTTTGACAATAATGTCGCAGCCATTAAGCGTGCTTTTCCAGTCAGGTCCCATGATATCGTCTATGATTGCCTGCTTTGATCGGATTGGCCGGTTCATCGAAACCCAGGAAGGTCTCGATATTGGCGATTCTCCACAGAGCTCAAACGAGGCGGATACAGAGGGCGATGTCAAAATCCTGAATGGAAATTTTGGTTGGTCTGTTGACTCAGTTTCAGTTCTCAAGGATGTAAATGTAACAATGCCTCGTGGAAAGCTTACCATGGTCAGTTCTTTCCTCTACTACCCCATATCTTTTAACGCATGTTGCTAACAACGGATTGGATTGTGAAAGATTATTGGACCTGTGGGATGCGGAAAATCCACGCTATTGAAAGGCCTTCTCGGAGAAGTTGCATATGCCAATGGTACCATCATGCTTCCACGCGGTAGTCTCGGATTTTGTGACCAAACCCCGTGGATCGTGAACGGCACTGTTGAAGAGAATATCACTATGTTTTCGAGTAGTGATGATGAGTATTACAACACAGTGTTGGAGGCTTGTGCTTTGCTCGATGACTTGAAGCAGCTTTCGGGTGGCGATCAATCCAAAGTTGGCAGTAAAGGAATTGCCTTGAGTGGCGGCCAAAAGCAACGAGTCGTAAGTGAAACGCCGCCTCTTAATTTATTCCCTACTTGACTTCAACTAACAATATTTTCAGTCCCTTGCGCGCACCCTCTTCGCTCGGCGCAATATCAATATATTTGACGATATTCTTAGCGGTCTCGACAGCACTACGGAATCACACGTCTTCGCTGCTGTCTTTGGGCCAACAGGTCTTCTCAGGCGAAATGAATCTACTACTATTCTTGCAACACATTCAGGTAGGAAACCCCGAAGCTTATGAGACGTAGAGATGCAAAATGGATATTAGGCTAATAGTTCGCAGTTCACTTTCTTCCATATGCAGATCATATTATCTACATTGGACCCGAAGGAAATATTGTTCAGCAAGGTTCATTCGCAGAACTCAGTGCGGTTGAAGGATATGTCAGCAGCCTAGGGATACAAAATAACCAGAATTTGCTCGGATATATCAATCCCAAGGCGAGCAACGGAGGAATGGAAAACAATAACAAGACAAAGACGCCAGAGCCCGATGGACAAGACAACTCGCAAAAGCCCCGAGGTATTTACCGATATTACTTCAAATCGATCGGCTATGGAATGTCTCTCCTCTATCTCGTCCTTGCTACTATCTATACCTTCCTTTTCACCTTTCCATACCTATGGGCCAAATGGTGGACTGATGCCAATTCTCGAGATCCTTGGCACTACACAGGGTTTTACATGGGGGTATACGCTCTGCTCCAGGTCTCGTGTCTGGTCTCTCTTGTCATCTTCGCAAGACATGCAGTTATCACGATCGTGAATACGTCTGGGCTTAGCCTTCACCAAAAGCTCATTTCGACGGCGCTTCATGCACCTCTATCGTTCTTCGAAAAGACCGATACTGGTATCACACTCAACAGATTCAGTCAAGACCTGCAGATGGTGGATAATGAACTCCCTTTGGCTGCATTGAACATTGCATGCAGCGGACTCATTCTCATCGGTCGAATGCTTCTAATTATGAACACCTCGTATTGGTTAGCATTCTCCTTCCCTTTAGTTATCTTGGCTCTGGGCGTGCTTCAGAGTGTGTACATGAGGACCTCCCGGCAATTGAGGCATCTTGATCTTGAGACCAAGTCTCCCCTCTATTCGCAATTTGTCGAGTCACTGGATGGGCTGGTTTCTATTCGCGCTTTTGGATGGCAAGGTCCGTTCAAAGACCGTCTATACCAAAACCTCAACCGTTCCCAGAGACCGTTCTATCTGCTCCTCGTTCTTCAACGATGGCTTTCAGTCTCGCTCGATTGCCTGACAGCGGCTTTTGTCATCCTCCTTGGCGCTGTAATGATCACTATGAGAGATCAAATCAGTCCAGGATTTGCTGGCGTCGCCTTGGCTAACTTGATTGGCCTGAGCGGTTCCATGAGCACTGTCGTTGAGACATGGACGCAGATGGAGACATCGATGACTTCTATCCAGCGCATTCGAGATTTTGAGCGTGACGTCCCCACCGAGACTCGCGGAGGCAGCCACACGGCTGTGCCCCCGGAATGGCCAAGTCGAGGTGCTGTTGAGATTCGAAACTTGACTGCGACGTATAAAGATGGTACAGTCACGGCTTTGAAAAATATCACAATGAGTATCAAGCCCGGCGAGAAGATTGGCATCTGTGGCCGCACAGGTAGTGGCGAAACATCCTTCACTCTCGCCCTCTTCCAGATGATCGATGTCCAAAAGGGTTCCATCTCGGTCGACGGCCTCGATATTGCATCCATTGACCCGAACACATTGCGAAGCGGTCTCAATGGGATCCCACAGGAGCCTTACTTCATGCCGGGAACTGTCAGATTCAATACTGACCCTCGTGGCACGAGTTCTGATGAGGATATTATGCGAGCTCTGACTTCAGTTCACATCGACAAGGCTATCATTACTAAGGGAGGTCTCGGCGCTGAGATGGAAGATGGGCTATTTTCCCAGGGCGAAAAGCAGCTTTTCTGTCTGGCTCGATCTATCCTGAAACGCAGCAAGGTCATCGTACTGGATGAAGCTACAAGCAAGTGAGTAAACCAACAGCACACCGTCTTCTCTTTTACGATGAGTCTAGGCTAATTTTAAACAAGTATCGATGTCGATACTGAAAATTTGATCAAGAAGGTGATAGACGAAGAATTCAAGGATTTTACCGTAATCACAGTCGCTCATCGACTATCAACGATCCTCAATAACGACCGAATTGCTGTTTTGGAGGCAGGCGAGCTGGTGGAATTCGATACTCCGGAGGCTTTGCTTAATCGACAATCTCGGTTGAAGAAATTGCGAGACGCATAGAGAAAGCTACCACCGGAGGAGAAGGTGGGAATACTTAGTCTATCAGACTCTTATTTCCTTTCGTCTATTTCAGCAATACAAAATTAGTCATTATCTATACGATTTATCGGTTTAATGGATTATTCCTGTTTGATTATGTTGTCAGCATGCAAGCTTTGCTCAACCCTTACTTTGCCAGGACCCGGCTATGATATTTTTCAAAATCGGCGCACAACAAAGGGTCCTAAAGTACTCAATTTCACAGGACTCATTTTGTATTGGCTATATTTAATTCGAGAAAAATTTCTACAGTGATCAAGCTCATGGTCTGATATAGTAGCACAGCAAAGTGAGAGTCCATCACGGCCATTAACTCCCTCACGTATCTTATTTATATTGCACTTCAAACACGGATTACACTCGGAGAATCTGGGAATCGAGTCGAGAAATATGGGGGACAAAAAAAGCACACCACAGACCACAGAAATGGGTTAGGTGTCAATTTTGCAGTCAGGATCGAAACGCCTTCCCTGGCGCTTTGAAGCTTGTCCTAATTCCCTGTTAAGCTAATGTACTCACACAAAACCTATGCAGCGAATCTAAAGATCAAATTATTGTCCCAGTTGTCTTTTCTCATTCTCTTGAACAAGCGTTTTTTTTTTTTTTTGCAGGGGAGGGCATCATCAACTCCACAGAGTGGTTATGCTACAATCGTTATCATGTCTATGAAACCCAACCAGGGGGTATCACACCGACAGATCTTACCATGGCACAGCCGATCCAATGAATCGTTTATTTGAAAAATAGCGCATAATGAGTTGATTGCAGGCTACATACTAGGTGCACCCGATGAATTCTGAAGCAAAAATAGAACATCCAGCCTCCATGATCAGCCCAACCACACCCATAACTCTTAAAGCATGTTTTCCCGCCGTCGGCCTGTTTCCCGTAGAAATCGCGCACCAACACGCGGAGATTAGGCTTCATGAACGACCTCTCTCGTGCTTGAATAATGGGATCGGTCGAAGGGGGGGTGACATCTTAAAGAATCGTATGAAACACCAGGAAACAGGTGACTCGGAGTCCTTCCCATACGTCAACGATCCACGAAGAAGGTAAAAAAAACCGTAGTAAATCCAAATGTTTGCCGCATCTTCATGACCGTGTCTTCTCCGAGAATGTCGCCGCTCTAAGATAAGCGAATCTCAGCTAGAGACTCCCAAGTGTGTGTGGGCTTACGTGTTTGAGATTGTGCCCCAGCTACTAACAGCCTACCATGATGAAGTTCGATACACTATCAGCTGGTGTCTGTCTTGCTGCCTGGGATGGTAGTTTACTGCGCGTGCCCTTCTTCTTATAACCTTCTCGTTCATGTCGTGACTCTATTGTACGAGCGATTCGTATTCCAATGAAAAGACACAAAAGTTGACTTTTCAATCTGCTAATCAAAGAGCAATGCCAGCTTAGCTTACCACTCCACATGGTTTCATAAGAAGCTTATGACCCTACACCGTAATTTGACACATGCCAACCCGTTTGGCCACATGGCAGAAAGGTGAACCCCGGGGACTAGGAGCATGGTGGGGAGAATTCTCTAAAAGATGACAGCCCCATGTCTAACTCACCCCAATGTAGTATAATTCAGAGAATACGGAGTGTTTTGGGAACATTTCGTCAGCTCGGCAGAGCTTATCACGCAGTGCCGCTGTGACAGGAAGATTAAGGCAACTAGCAAGGCAGGCGAACCATGCAGTCAGCAGGCACGTATCGGGAAGGGTTGATGCAACGGACCAGATAGGCCTGTATATACAGCCCAACTCGAACTCAATGGATAGATCAGCAAGACAAAAGAGTTAACAGTCAAGGTGCGAATATACTCATCACTTGTGAGTCTTCTTACCCGTGAGCATTCGAGTCCTCATCTTGCTTTTTGGCACTTTTCGAAGACACTTTCACCTATTGTTTATACCCTCATACAGTCAAAAATGATCGGACCCAATGGCTCGGGTTGCCCTGTTTCTCTGCATCGGAGTAGCCCTGGTCGAGGCAAGAGACTCCCGCAACCAGTTCACGGAGTTCTTCACAACATTCAACGGCTGGTACTATGGAGAGGGTAATAGTGAAAAATGCGAGCCGGCTCATCAGAACTACACTTCGGCCGCGGAGATTCCTGGCCAGCACCGCTGGGCTTGGGAACTAGTTGACTGCATTCTCGGGATCACCAGCGAAGCCCAGAAAGCGGAGTTTGCTTTGTCCGCAACACTACTGACTGTTCTTCCCGTTGGGCTGGCGCAGATCCGGCCAGGGCTGACTGAGACCGGCTGTCTTGCTATGCGCAGGCCATTCCTGGCTCTGATGCTTGAGTTTGGCGTGCCCTCGCCGAATCCAATTACAGGCACCATCAACGGGAGAAAGGTCAGAAAGCTCGGCACTTCGAGGCCTCTCAAGCAGCTTGAAACTTTCAGATCTTTTCGATTTATGTTCTCGCTGCTGGAGTATATCCTTGGGATGGGAGCCACGGTGAACTGTATTTACCAAATATACCGCCTGTGCTACAAGGCCATAGCCCTTGCGCCCATCGCAGTATTCATGCCAGGCTTGTCTGAGACGGCTGTAGTGCTGGCATGGATGGGCCTGCTCCTCCCAATCCATTATCTAGGCGTCCTCGCTTTCGCCTACACATATCCCGTGGCAGGGCCGAGACGATCTCTAAAGCAGTGGGTTATGGACGAACTGACACCTTGCTACTACGGCCGACTAATCAAGTTTGAAGAAGAAAATCCAGACAGGCGGCTTGGGAAGGGCTGCCTGGAATTTTTTACCATTTGGTCGCATGCCTCCACATCATGGTTGGGACGGTATTACTAGGTAGCGTGTTCTTTATCACATTGGCCGGTGTGCTTCCTGTGATTGAATCATTCGTGGGCGCTGCTCTTGCAAGTTGCAACAAGAGTAGTCGCATCGATCAAGTTTGAAGGGATGAGGATGACAAATTACCCCACGAATGAGATCTCCAACATGGCTGTAACAGAAGGCGAAGAAGGCCAAACCTTATACTTTGGCAAACAACATTAAGAGAGGGTTCCACTGTTTTGATCAGGGGAGCTAGGTACATTTCTTTACGGACAGATATCGAGAAGGCAATTCCTAGTTCTCTGGATACCTATATAAAGTTGGAAGTTAGGTCCTGTTTATCTGAAGTCGTAGGCAGGGCCTGGGGTGAAGGGGCTTAAATAACCGACAGGACTACGGAAAGTTCAGCTCAGTAGGTGCACAAGAGGCAGTTTAGGTTGATACTTAAACGTGTACAGTTTGCAGTGTTTCCAAACTCACTCAGATGAAACTTTCCTACCCGTACGCTGGCTGCACTTCAGATTTGCGCCAGATTTGGAAGTTTATCAATGTCATAAATTCATTTCTGCCTGTAGCTTCTTTCTCAAAACGAAAATAGCTACTGGGGCGAAAGTTTGCCACCTGTCCGCTAGTTGCTACTTCAAGAGCTTGGAATGATATCAGAGCCGGAGGCGGTTTCTCAGTAGATTCCTTTCTTTTCCTCTCTTGAATCCAACGTCCGACTTTGCCCCATTGCGAGAGTTGTTTTTATCGACTTTAGCCAAGCTGAGTGCCTCAAGGAGCCAACCATTCATTGTCCATGCACCAGCATCCTCGACCCATAGGCCCACGTTTCCAGTTGGGTCATTATTGCATAAGTGCATGGAAGGTCGAGATAACTCAGTCCCATCGGTCGAACCCAGCTATATCACGCGGTCCGTGGCCTAGTGGCGACGGTTACTCGGAACTCAAGAGGTTAATGTTCCAACAAAGGGCAGACTCTATACGTAGTTTCTCCAAAACCAGACATTTATACTCCTAAGATGAATTAAGGGGATTAGCGGGAGGATTTTGATGGTCCTCTGCCCTAGAATGAAGCTAGCTTTTGATGATAAGCGAGTTAGTAAGAAGTAGAGATTATTCTTAAAGGACTGGATGAAACATTTCATTACGATACTGTAGTACGGACTGGTGGGCGATATGTTAAGGCAAGAAACGTATCTGTTTGGTTTCTCATTTCATTACCCGGAGGTACTGGGTTCAGGGCTGACTTGACTCTAGGATTCGAAGCCTATATGTTCAAGATAAAGTTCATTAATCGATAATATACAACAGCTGCCTCTTCATTCCACCTCGAGCTAGCGTATTCTACTTCCCTGATTGCATGATCCGTGTTTATTAGCTATAAAACCAAGGCTGTCCAAGAATGCCATCGACGGAAGGGTGTCGCAACGCATCTACTTGCAGAGTCGAGCGCATCAAGGACATCAGTCCTGCTTGCTGTGATTCGGGCATTATCATATCTCATTCTCCTTTGGAACATCTGCTCTAGAGTCGAAGATTGATACATCCACAAAAGGCGCATCGTCATCCATAGGATCACCCTCACCCTGAAGCTCCAGTTCCGAACTACAGCGTACCTAGCAGATTAGGTACACAAGATCAATATCAATGACGCTGGCTGGGCTTACGCCTGACCCATGTTCCCAAGATATGCCACGGCGACTGCAGGGATGAGGGGTCACAGTTAATGCATCCACGTAGCTCAGCTCTTGGCGACAGAGCCAACTCCACACTGTCCCACACAAGCAGATCCGAGTTTTATCAACGACTTTTCTCCGTTACGTTCCTTTTCTCATTGGCATCCCCGCACTCGGGCGATTTTTCTGCGACCCCGCGACGACGCGTTCCAGCTCGTGGTTGAACATTACACCTCCCCTCCAACGCTTCACCCTCGCCCGTCCCACGCTCCCGCTCATCACGACGCCGGCCTAAATTCTTGCCTCACAGGCATCCGAGCAACACGATGTTTAGAGGCCTGTCATTCAAGCGGACCAAGGCCCAGGACACGCGGCCCCAGCGCTTTTCCCCACGGTCCGAACAGCTCCCCGTTCACCAGCACTATATTGAGCCTGGGGAGGCTCGAGAGGGGTCCCAGAAATGGAAGCAGATGCTCGGCGGCAATAACAAGCAGGCGGCGGAGCAGGAGGAGCTCAATTCGCATGGGCCCATGGTAGACAAGTACGGCATGTGCGAGAAAGTGGTTGGCACCGGTTCACATGGCACCGTGTGGCTCTCTCGAAAGAAGGCGGCAAAGGGCCAAAACGACGAGGAGCTGTACGCCATCAAATGCTTCCGGCAGTCGTCCACAGAGCCCAAGGAGAAGGAGAAGCACAGCAGCCGACTAAAGGCCGACTTCTCCATCGCGAGAGAACTGCGCCATGCCAACGTCGTTCGCACGCACGAGCTGTTCCAGAGTCCCGCCGACAGGTTCTATAAAGCAATGGAGTTCTGCGCGGGCGGGGACCTTTATACGCTGGTGAGCTCGGCCGGGAAACTGGAGCCGCTCGAGGCAGCTTGTTTCTTTAAGCAGCTACTGATTGGGGTCCAATATCTGCACGAGATGGGTGTCGTCCACCGCGACCTCAAGCCCGAGAATCTTCTCCTTACTACGGACGGTATGCTCAAGATTAGCGACTTTGACTGCAGCGAGTGTATCCGTTTGGGGTGGGAAGAGGAGACCCATATGGTATCGGGGATCTGTGGTTCTGAGCCATATATAGCCCCCGAGGCGTTTATGGACGACGAGTTCGACGGCCGTGCTCTGGATGTGTGGGCTTGCGGCGTGATCTATATGGCAATGTGCACTGGTAAGTTGCTCTGGGACGTGGCTAAGAAGGATGAGGACAGCTCGTATGCAAAATACCTTCACGATCGACGTTTAGAGGAAGGGTTCCGCCCGATTGAGTCATTGCCCCAAGTCAGTCCACCCTTCCACACACCCCCCTAGTGATGATGGAGATCTTCCCGTTCACATGTCGTTACTCTAGGCCGGTTGCGGAAACGTCCTTTACTGCCTTCTAGATCCGAACCCGGCCCGTCGGATCACGACCCCCCAGATCTTGAAATCTCGTTGGGTTCGGGGAATTCAAGTCTGCTACGACGTCGGGGAGGATTGACCCGTGGCTCTGGCCCAGCCCTTGTCCTGGTGCTTGGTTAGTCCGCCCAAGACAGTCCATCCCGACCACGACCCAGTACAAACCGCCTTGGGCCAAGGGCAAACGAGCCAATTTTCGCGAATTGGTCGCCGCAGCGTCGCAGCATCAGCCAAGCGCGCCATGCCCATTTCGTTTTTATTCTCCAGCTGACCGACCATCTCCTCCTGTGCTGGCTCCAACCAAGACATGCCTCTGAGATAGCATCGCTTGGCACTTGGCATATCCCACCTCTGCCCCTCGTCTTCACTACAATTTTCTTGTTCTCTTTTTTGTGTTTCCTCAATTTTCCTCTCAGCATTTCCCCTCTGTCTTCCCGGCCCGGCCTCGCCCCTGCCCTTGCCCTTGCCCTTGCCCTCTACTCTTCCCTATCAGCATCACACGTCGTGGTCACGTTGATGAGGGATTATTTCTATTGGGCGGCGGTCTACTGGGCATCAAAGGGAAGAAAACGAGAGCTCAAGCCCTCGATCGCCAATCTATCCCCAAAGTGAGATCAGTGGGACTTGCGTCATCATCTGCATTGGCTCCCTCCCTTGGCACAAGCTACCCCTCCCCGCCATTCATGCAACAAGCTTGCTTTCGATGCATCGCGAGTCGGCGCCAGCCGAATTGTAAGAAGCTACACGGAGCTTCTCCTTCTCTCACTCTCCTGGGCTCTTCCTCTACTTCATTCTTCTCCTCTCTTAACTTGTCTTCTGTCCTCTTGTCTTTTCTCGCACCTTTTGTTTCTATCCTTTACCTTTCCTCTCGCCTTGATATCAGCGTCATTTGAACGACCTTCGCCCTCTAGCAACTGACACTATGGGGAAAACACGAACTGCGACACTCAAAGATGTGCCTGCCGTCATCGATGTCATCCTCTCTTCAGTTCCCAACGAACGCCTGTGGACGAATTTTGTGCCGTCACAAAGAGGCCGTGGCACTGACTTCCGTCAAGAGATGGAGGCTCTCTTTGAAGAGCATATCGACCCAAGCCACAACGACTGGGTGATTGAGGTCGTCGATCTAGGAGAGAAAGGGGGCACTCCCGTCATCGTTTCTGTTGCCGTGTGGGACATGTCGGCAGCGGAAGGCCATGGAGGACAATCAAGTAAGAATCCCGCTACGCCTTCCCACCTGCAACAAGAAAGTAATTCGAGGCAAGATGCAGAGCATGAGACCAAGATGCCCATCGAGGACCCGCACCTCGGCATCTTCTACGACCTAGTCCAGAATGGTCGCAGTGAGTTTGTGAAAAGATACCCACAGTTCATGTATCTACAGCTCCTGGCCACCCACCCCAACTACCGCGGCCAAGGCTATGCCAAAGACCTGTTGCGCGCTTACATGGTCAAGGCGAAGCAGAAGGGAAGCGTTCTAACTTCCTTTGGTGGGCCATTTGGCTACATCTTCTTCAGTGGGCTAGGGTTCCATGATCTGGGTGCAATTGCCTTGCCTTCAGGCATCACGAGCGACACAGTCATGGTCAAGGCAATGTCACTTGTTGTCCCGAAAGAAGCCAGGAGACGGTCCATTGTCAACGCCGTCGTCAATCATATCACCCGCTAGTTGGCAAGGATTGAGCCTGCCAAGTGGGTTGACACTCGCTTCAAGCTACCCCCTTTCCTTTCGCGTTTTTCCTTTCTCTCTTATCTCTTTGAATTTTTGTTTCGACCATTCCGATCCCCTAACTCTAGCAGGACCGAACCAAGGTCGTACCATCGGCCACTACGAACTACGATGGAGAGGCCACCGACACCAATGATGTAAGGCCCTGGCGTTAATCGCTAACGAACCTCCCCTACTGATTCAACCACACCGAAATCGCCACTCGGATAGCCAGATATCCAGTGGCCTGGGACTTTCCACGCCAAGCAAGTAACCCGGCTGCGATGCTTCGCGTTTCCCGCTGATCCAATTACAGAGACACTGCCCCGGGGTTGAGAAGAGGCCCCCCTCCCCCAAGGTTTACTCCCACTGCAAGCAAGTAACCCGGCTGCGGTGCTCAATATGTTTCCCGCTGATCCAATTACAGAGAGGCCGCCACCCGGCCGGCAAGACATCTTACAACCTGGGGATATACACGCCAAGCAAGTAACCCGACTGCGCTGTTCAACGTTTCCCGCTGATCCAATTACAGGAAAACCGCGAGGGGGGGAGGTGAGGGGAGGGAGGTGACAAAACGCCTCGGTCTGGGACCTTTTCACCGCCAAGCAAGTAACACGGTCCGCGTGTGTAACGAGTTTCCCGCTGATTTTTCTACAGGGCGACCGTAAGGCTGTCCCGGCGCGGGGCAGCCCCCATGTTCTTTGCAACTTCACCGTGGAACGTGCATGTGCCTGGCGAAAGTAACTCATACATACACCAGTGGCCAGCCTCTCTTCTTGTTTCCTTTGTCCACTTTCTACTAGTCCTATGTCGCTATGCAGAATCCATTGAATTCAAAGTCCCCAGCCAGCTGTTTACATGTTGACGAGGTCCTTGCCTTGAACTTCCCAGGACTGTGAGATGCTCATCCCAGTGGCCATGACTGACCATTGACATCTGTCACGTGCACTCACCCAAACCCTCAGATTAGTGTGCCCTCGCTGGTCATTGCACGCTTCTCTATGTCTGCTTGCGGCGAGACTGCGGGCGTTCATCACCCGTAGGCCTCCCACGGTCCACTGTAGGAGGCCTCCTCTAGGGGCAGTTGGGCTCAAAATCCTTCAGCCGCAGGTACTGAATACACCAGCTGCAGCATGTTGATGGCGCTCTCTCCGGGTACTCTGCACTCCCTATCGACAGCTGAAAATCCCGCATGACTGCCCCCACCCTCGGGGCGCCTACCTACCCTATGCTCCTCTACCCTCCCTCAAAATCTCCCCCCGCCTGTCGCCTCCCGTTGCCCTTCTCTTGCCTTTCACTCCTTCTCACTTTTCCTTCTGCACGGTGTCTTCCATTGCTACGTGTCTTACATCTATCTGTCTTGCATCTTGTTGCCGGCTGCCTCCCGCAGGCATCCAACTCAGCCACCATGGAGCTCCTCAAATTAGTGCCGATCAACTTTGTCACCATACACTGTTCGTGAAGCCGACACAATCCTATCTACCAACTGCGAGTTTGCTGACAATCCCAGATGCGTACATCATCTTCATGGGACTGCTTTCCATCGCAGTCATGCTTCCTGCAGGCAATGTGAAAGCCATCGATGCTTACTTCTTCGGTGCCAGCGCCTCGACCGAATCCGGTCTAAACACGTCAGTCTTCGACATTGCTAGCACCGTGTTAGTTTTTAAGGTTAATTTTTAACTGATGACTTCTCATCTTAGCGTTGATGTGAAGGATCTCATGCTCTACCAGCAGCTTTACATCTATTTCATTCCCATTATCACAAACCTTGGCTTCATCAACGCTTTCACTGTTCTTGTGCGTCTGATCTGGTTCCGCAAGCACCTTCAGAAAGTTGGTAGGTTCACACTCGACTCCACCTCGCTCTTTGTCGGCTCTCATATCTCTTCCGTTTACATTTGGAATGTTCAATAACCAACCCCCACTGTTAGCTCCCAAATTGCTTGAGCGTCGTCAGCGACGCAGTGAGTATCCGATGGGCATCGGTCACGCCAAAGTCCTTTCACAAGATGAGCCAGACTCCGCCCAAGAGGAGACTCACAAAGGCAAAGAGCAGTCGGATGAGGCATACGAATCCGGGACACATGAAGCTTCCCAGGCCCACGGAGCTGCGCACCCTCGGATTATTATTGATGATTCAGCCAAGCCTCCGCGAGTTGAGGCATCAGGGCATGCCCCTGGACTCCAAGAAGGTGACCAAGGTAAGTCGCCACACCAAACTCAGCTATGGTCCCGATATAGACTTCTTGAGAATCCCCTGTACCCACCCTCTTCCCTCTGGGCTACATGTGTTGCTCCCGACGCAGCCACAAATCAGTCCTTTCAAGAGTTTTCATCTAACCTTGGCTCAGAAATCTCCGTTTCTGGCGAGGGAGGCTCCGTGTATGATCTTCGCCGCCGCCGCACCAATGCCTCTCGCACTTCGCTATCGATGGAGAGCGTTTCCAACGTCGCGTATGTCGCCAAAACAATGTTAATTCTAGACCCTAGCTCCAGTGAACACCGCTCGGAATCCAACCCGCCAGGGCCTCGAGCACAGTTTCAGGATGACAAGCTCCGCTTGTCTCGCCATGTTACCATCGGTCGCAATTCTGAGTTTGTCGGTCTGACTAAGAAGGACTGGGAGAGGATTGGAGGCCTAGAATATAGGAGTCTCAAGCTTCTTGTGAAGATTGTATTCTGTAAGTTGCCAATATATGTGCAACCGGAGTTGAATTCCATATCACTAACGGTCTTTTTGCCTTCGTTTGCCAGCCTATTTCTTCGGCTTGCACCTTCTTGGTGTGATGTTCCTTGTGGGCTGGATCCAGTACGCCAATCCCAAGTACAAAGAGTATCTCGCCGAAACTGGACAGAATATGAATTGGTGGTAAGTACCATCGCAGAAACACGCCTCCTGACCTCTGTTCGTTGACCCTTGCCATAGGGCCGTGTATTCTGCCCAGACCATGGTAGACAATCTGGGTTTCACTCTTACACCAGACTCGATGATTTCGTTTCGCGATGCGATATGGCCGATGATCGCAATGAGTTTTCTAGCATTTGCTGGCAACACCCTCTATCCCGTCTTCCTACGTCTTCTTATCTGGACCATCTCAAAGGTCGCACCTAGAGACGCATCGATCCAGGAGCCACTATCATACCTCTTGAATCATCCCCGTCGCTGCTATACATTGCTTTTCCCGAGCCGCCCAACCTGGATCCTCTTTAGCATCATCTTTTGTCTCAACTTTGTAGATACACTTCTGATTATCGTCCTGGATCTTTACAATCCAGAAGTTGCCTCATTGCCGGCTGGTCAGCGGCTCTTTGCGGCAATCTTCCAGGCTGCCTCCTCTCGTCACACCGGAACTTCGACCTTCAATCTTGCCAATGTCAACCCTGCCGTGCAGTTCAGCCTGATGGTTATGATGTATATTGCCATCTTCCCTATTGCCCTTGCGATTCGATCTTCCAATGTATACGAGGAGAAGTCCTTGGGTATTTGGTCGCCCGAGGGCGAGTTGAACGAGTCAAACGGTCGGTCTTATATCATGCGACACATCCAGAACCAGCTCAACTTTGACCTGTGGTATATCTTTTTGGGAATTTTCTGCATCTGCATTGCGGAAGCAGAGAGAATCGCGGACGTCGGCGAGCCTGTGGGTTCCTCTGCCTCATCCTCCTCCCGCACGGGGCTCGTTCTGACCACTTAGGCTAACCCTCTCTCTAGTCGTTCACCGTCTGGAGCATCTTTTTCGAAGTCACATCCGCTTAGCAAGTTGCCCCTCTTCTTAGTTGTCTCCCTTTACTCCCTTTACTCCCCCAAACATCCTCCCCCCGATTAATACGCAAGTACGCTAAGTGTGTGTAACAGCGGAAACGTGGGGTTGAGCCTCGGCCACCCAACCGTAATGACCTCGCTCAGCGGCATGTTCGGCACGTTCGGTAAGCTCGTAATTTGTGCCGTGATGATCCGCGGGCGCCACCGCGGTCTGCCATACACGCTCGACCGCGCCATCATGCTCCCGGATGAGCAATTGCTCCATCTTCGACAGGAAGAAGAGGAGGCATAAGGACGCTGCATGTGGCTAATGACTTCGCCTCCCCTTACGGGATGGAGGAGTGGCTTGAAGCGTGGTAGGATATGAAAGGTAGGTGACATAGAGCAAGGCATTCTCGGTTGTGATTGCAAGATGGTTGCGATGGCAGGTGGGCTGGCTTATCCTAGCGACTTGTCGGGATGTAAACAACAAGATAAATAGTAACTAAGGATATCTCTATACCTTAGTTAATCATGACCCTGTGGTTTTCCATAGCGGTTGAAAACTATGCCACTGGAATAATTTTATTAATATATATTCCAGCTTAGGTTTAAACCAGAGACCTTTGGGATAGGCGTAACTCAAGAGATTACTGATGCCTTGCTCTAAGTAGTCACTTCAGTATTCCATGACGCTAGACCGTTGCGCCACTGGAATATCTCTGGTGCATGATGTTGTTTCGCCGGTGGCTGAGGCGATCGGCCTGGTTATTTGGTGGCCGGCCCGGGGCAAAGCCGGGTGCTTTGGCTCTATAGAGGAAGGTCGTCGATTTTACCCATATGTTTGGAACAGGCACGGAAGAGAGTTTGAGTGTAAAGTTAAACAGCAATAGGAGATGCCAGGCCTGGCAACTCAACACAATGAACAACGGAACAAGTGCATCGATTTCTGAAGTCAAGAAGTGGCGTAGTGGTCTGGCTACTGGTGTAATACATCATGAGAGTTCAAAAGCAACGATCCACTGAAGGGTGGCGCATGCTAGAGAATCTGCGGCTGGGCAAGAGGGATTTGAGAAGAGTGTGCCGGATATCCGCGTGAAACCACAGGGATCTGCCGTCATTGATAGCAGCGGCATCATTGCTGGCAGAGGGATCCCCCGCAACCTGCTGCATGTCCCGCGTTGGAGGCCTGCCAGGGTGGTTCCGGATCTGCATCACCACCCTTGGCATTTTTGTCTTCTTTCCCTTCCACAAACACCGCCACTCGGTGCTGTGATTCTGTGTAATTGATATGTCGGTAGGCCTGAATGACGTGGCGGGCTGCCTCCCTTGGCCTCTTCCCTATCATTTTTTGTAGATATATAACACAACCAGCCACGGTGTGGCATTCCTCGCTTTCCCTTCCCGTAGCCCTTCGCAATAAACATCTAAACGCGTGCACATACTCTTGAGCAGCCAAAGATACACGCCCAGTTCACACCGAAGGATATACGAGGATCCTAGAATTCACAAATCGTTTCACATACCAGGCATGGGGAACACACGCATCGCAACCCAGGACGATATCCCAGCCATCGCCAAGCTTATCCAAGACTCGATCCAAAAAGATCGTCTCTGGTTGAAATTCTCTGCTTCGAAAAGCGTACAAGATGAGGCGTACATGACTGAGATTGAGTCCCTCCTTGAGGAGCACCTGTATCCTTCCATGGAGGATTGGATCATTGAGGTGGTGGATATCGGAGAGGATGAGCCAGAGATCGTATCGGCTGCCATCTGGGATGTGAAAGGTGCGCAAGGGCTAGATGTCGCAAGTGAGTATAGCCAAAACTCTAATATTCCAATTTCCCTGAAGCTTTTGTCGCGGCAAGGAGTAATCATATAAGGAATACACACAGAGCGCGAGCATAAGACGTATATACGAGACCGTCGCCTCCTCAAGTATATCCAGATACTGCGCGGGGCCCAGGACAAGGCTTCGCTGCGACATCCGCGCAGCACGTGGCTGCAGCTGCTTGTCACGCATCCGAACCACCAAGGTAGGGGCTACGCGAAGGATCTCGTCAACTCCCAGGCATCCAGGGTGAAGAAGGACGGCGGCGTCCTCACCGCGGTCGGGGGGAGCAAGGCGTATATATTCTTCAGCGGGCGGGGGTTCAGCGACTTGGGCCCCGTGCAGGGCGTGGCTGCGGACGCGGAGACGGATACTATCAAGGCTTTGTCGCTGGTAATTAAAAAGGTCGACAAGGGAAAGGCATTTGTCGACTCGGTAGTTGACTACGTATTTAAGTAGCACGTGTAGGAAACAGGGGTTGAGCAACATCGAATAACCTTGATTAGCATTTACAGATTATTCACGTGTCTTTCTTTCCGATGGCAAGCAAAGCTATCAGTAGAAAGTGATGGTATCATACCCCTTTTATATTGTCACATGGTGGACTGAGTGCCATAGCAATTATGTCTCCTTAAACTATCCTAAATCAGCCGGCTTTCCCTGTCAAAGTCCCCCTTAGCTGTCATTGTAGATAATAGTACGGTCCGGCCCTTGGAAGTAATCATACACAAGCTTTGGCTTAACTGTACTTGTGAAGAACATGCTGACCTTGGCCTTCACATCCTTGTCCTTGTCCAGCGAAAGCAAGAACTCAAAGACTTGACATGCGCCATCCCGAAGCCCAGGCTGGTCAAAGTAGCAGACGTCATCAATAACGCATGCCAGCTTGTAATCGTATGGTATCTGCCGCACCAGCATCTTGAAGAGCTCCAAACGGTTCGTTATATTTCGGGTGACAGCGAAATCATTGTACTTCTCCAGGCCTTCCATGGGAAGATCCTCTTTTCGGCATGCTGTGATGAGCTGGGTTGCCAGAGACCCCATCATCGTATTGGGCCTTTTGTGGCAACTCTTGTATCCCTCTTGGGGCTCGCCACAGAACTGACTGGAGCACCACAAGAGGACCATTGTTTTGTCATGGTGGTTGAGGAAGTCGTGACTCGCTCCCAGGCAGAGATCAGAAAGCGGCGAAACGCCGCCGAGGACGTCTGTTTTTCCGGTTTGGTAGTAGACCAGCAACTTCTCTGAGTTCGATGATTCGAGCCATCGTTTGTAAAGGTCCTTTCCCCGTACTTCCTTGTAGAGGCGACTTGCCTCAGATTTATCCACTGTCTCCTCGATGTGGTCGATGTCCGGGATCACGAGGCCAAGCTTTTCTCGCACTTCACCTGCCAGCGCCCACTTCGAGTCCACATCATCATCTGGAGATGTATCGGAGTCCGTGTCGGTTTCAGAGCCCGAGTCTGCAACAGGGGCGGGCTCCGTGTCGCCCTGGCGCGGAAATGAACAATTCGAGACGCTCATTTTGAACAGTTGCAAAAGATATGTCAGAAAATGATGATTGAAGAAACGATTGAGAGGTACGCTAGGCTATGGTGTGAGGTGGAAAGAGCCCAGATGGTCAAGGATATTTAATTATACTTTTCTCCATGGTATTCTGGAATTAGTCAATCAGCCAACTCACTCTGGATATGCTATGCCTTGTTCCATCAACTGAATCTTTTCTTGCAACAAGCCTTCGTACACATAGGATATCTTGTTCGCTAATAGCCCCAGACGAAAATTCACTCATCTGTCTCCGTTCTGCATTGTTCATATAGCCCCATAATCTTTTGTTTGTGCTTGTCTACCAACTTGATCTGTAGATAAAACTTCAAGTAGTAGCGCTTATGAAGAAATGAAACTCACTTCAAAACAACTCAACCATGTCACAAACCTGGGTACATAAATCGCAACATGATAGCAAGCCGCGTTCTTTCTCTCAACAGCCCATTCATCACTTGCAACCCAGTCACTGCCACCAAGGAAAAGAAATAGTTCAGGATATGATGTGTTCCTATTCTTCTATCTAGAAATGATCTGCGTTCTGTCAATAAAGAAGGGACAATGAAGCCTCTTCTCAAAACATGTTCGCTATTTTCTCAATTCATCTTGTGTGGCCAGCGCATTGCCCAATTCACTCTACTTTGTCAATGATAAAGTTTACCTGGTATACCTCAATTTTTCATGGTCAAATGGCGATGAAATCATTTTAAAAATCCAAAGCGGCAGTAGAACATCAAGTTCACACATGCCGGTTTGGGGGTGCGGCGGAATCGTTCAAGTAGAACGATCTCGCAGTTGTCCTAGAATTGGATCAGCGAGACTACTTTTACATGTCAAACCGGGTTACTTGCTTGGCATAGGATTGCGTCTCTCACGAATGTCTTAGAGACAAGATCCGGGGGGGTATCGGTTGCCCTAGAACTGGATCAGCGGGTAAAGCTTTCATTTGTCGCGGGTTACTTGCTTGGCAGAAGGAGATGTGCCCACTGGCGAGAGGGAATCCGGGCGGGGTTTTGCGACTCTCGGTCGCTCTAAAATTGGATCAGCGGGTAACACTTTCATCACTCGGGCCGGGTTACTTGCTTGGCGGGTAAAGGTTTCCAAAGCGACCTCAAAGCCTACCACACCTGTTTGGTGATGATGGCTTTGTCGAGGGCGAGGGTGGCGACTCTCAGTCGCCCTAAAATAAGATCAGCGGGAAATCGATTGTCTCAAGGGGCCGGGGTACTTGCTTGGCACAGATCCGTCTTGTTCAAGGCAAACGACACTCCCAGAGGAGCCTATTTTTCTTTAGATGAGCTCTGAACTGCATCAGAGCCCAGGTAGTCGCCAAACACGCGTTGTTCGATATCCATATCCTTCCAGGATGCGCCGTGGGCCTTACGGTTTTGGCGGCGGAAGTAGATACGCTTACCCCATTTCCAGGCTTCGACGCCCGCAAAGAAGATGCCGGCTGCTATGAAGACGATGCCCCATTCCCAGCTGATTTCTGAGTGTCTGAAGACGATTGTGTTGAGCTTGGGGATATAGATTAATGGGAAGAGAGTAAAGAAGCCGATCATGATGGCCCAGAACAAGAACTGGTTTCGCCAAACATCAATCATCCACTGGGTGAAGTATTTCTTGGAGCCTGGCTGCATTCGGAAGAAAGAGCGACGCATGTCGATCATTTCCCAAGCGAGAAACAGAGCAAACCACGTCAAGCACGCAAAGGTGGTTGATCGAGCACGATATACGGTGTCACAGGTGCTATTGTAGTCCTGGTTGCAATTCTCACCTAGGTTGCCATCACCGAACCCGTAAACACGGAGAGTAAAGGCACCAAGACAAAGTGCCGTGATCCATAAGCCGTATACGACCATATCAATCAAAAACTCGGCGGTGAAAACACCAGTTTTGAGGGACTGTGGCGGGCGACGCATGATATCGGGCACGGCGCGTTCAAATCCCAAGCCCATGTCAGGCATACCAGAGGTAGCCATGATGATCCAGATAATCTGGACAGGCGCAAGAGGGAAGACAGACAGTCCACGACCATCCTTGAAGGCGAGACCGACGAGCAGTGTGCATGCCTGGGCAACGTTTTCAGCCAGAACGTGAAGGATGAACTTTTGAATGTTGTCAAAGATTCGGCGGCCTTCTTCAATGGCGGCGACAATAGACGCGAAGTTATCATCTGTGAGAACAATATCAGAAGCATCCTGCAAGACAATTAGTTACCAAGTCACCAAACTGGAGACGGGGATTGAAAGTTACCTTGGCTACATCAGATCCAGATTGGCCCATTGCGATACCAACATCCGAGCGTCTTAGAGACGGAGAGTCATTTACACCATCTCCAGTCTAATGACGGTTAGCGGTGACCGAAAAACTTGCAAGATGGGGAGCTTACCATGGCACAGAACCGCTTTCTACGATGAAGGGCCTCAATCATTCTGACCTTGGTTGACGGGGCACACCTAGCAATAACAAGAGGAAGAACCGGTAGCTCGTCGACCTGATCGTCTGTGAGGCTATCAAATGTCGTAGCTGTCATCACCATGGCTGCAGCAATGTCACTGGCGACAGCTTCCATCCGGTGAGGCAGGATACCAACTTCAATAGCGATCGCCTTGGCTGTTTCGGGGTGATCGCCGGTAAGCATGTGGACAGAGATACCAGCCTCGTGGCAGGAGCGAACGGCGGGGGCCGACTCGGGGCGAGGAGGGTCATAAAGTCCAATGAGGCCACGGAAAACCAAGTCCTTCTCAACAGTAGATCGGTCGACGTCGTCGCCTTTCTTCAGAGGGTAGGTGTACACTTTGCTTGCCAACGCGAGAACGCGGAGACCAAGACTAGCAAATTTCTCCATGTTGCGCAGGATCTCCTCGCGAAAGGGTTCGTCAATATCGACAAGGTCGGCGGAATCGTGCGGCGAATACTTGGCGCATGCTTGAATGACTCTCTCGACAGCACCCTTGGTGAAAGCAAATAACTCGCCGCTCCCGTTGTTCTTGACGACTACAGACATGCGCTTCACGTCAGAATCAAAAGGCAGCTCTGCGAGGTCAGACCACTGTACGTTCTCGCCATGGGTGAGCGTCTGGCGATTCCAGCCAAAACGTGATGCAAACACCTGGATGGCAATTTCGGTCGGGTCGCCTCTTGCCTCCCAATGGTCACCCTTCTTGGAAACGGTTGCGAGGTTAGCAAGCGAAGCAACCTGAAGAAAAGCAGTGAGGTCCTGGGCGCTCTGGCTCATGAGGTCATCGGGCTGGGCAATGGTTCCGCAGGCGTCCCCGCCCGTCTTGAAATCGATCCGGCTGGGAGCATCGGGGTGAAAGCGGACATCTCCCGCTGTCGGGTCCATGGGCGAGGTAGAGTTCTCAATGGTGTATGTACCTTTTCCAGGAATCCAGGCACCACGAGCGACCATCTTGCCCTGTGTGAGGGTACCAGTCTTGTCAGAACAGATATCGGTGACAGCGCCGAGAGCCTCAAGCGACTTGAGATTACGAACAATGACATGTCTCTTCACCATGCGCTTCGTCCCAGCGGCCATGGTGATGGTCAGAACTACAACCAGACTTGCAGGAATCATTGAGAGCCCAGTAGCGACAGCATAGATGACCACCTCTTGCCTCGAGTCGAACTTGTTGGCGCCCAGGCAGATGATGGCGCAGACAATGGCAATACCAAAGAGCAGCAAGGCGAGCTTGGAGAGTTTCTTTTGCAGGGGTGTGCCTACGTTGACGCCGAGGAAGCGGCCGATAGCATCAGTCAAAGTCAGGGTGTATGCCTCGAGGTACCTGTGCGGCTTTGCGGTGCCGTCTGGCTTCCGCTTCACGGGCCGAACCTTGGAGTCCTTCTTCCGAAGCTCGGAGGCGATGGCGCCGATCTCGGTAAAGACGGCTGTCGCGAATACGATTCCCTTGGCGCGGCCCTTGGTAACAGTTGATGAGCTGTAGGCAACGTTGAGACGGTCGCCAGGGCCAGTCTTTTCATCGAAAACGGCATCCTCATTCTTGCGAACAGGCAGCGACTCTCCGGTCAAAAGAGCCTCGTCTGTCTCGAAATTGACTGCGTCAAAAAGGCGGATATCTGCGGGAACTGTGTCACCCGTTTTGAGCTCGATAAGGTCACCGGGGACCACCTCGGCAGATGGGACAGTGGTCATTTCGCCGTCGCGAACGACACGAGCAGTCGGGGAGCTGAGAGATCGAAGGGAGTCCATGGTCTTCTCGGCCGAGTACTCCTGGAAAAAGCCGACGATGATATTGAGGAGGATGACGGCAGCAACTACTCCACCTTCGATCCAAGATCGGATTCCGAAGCTGACTGCCATGGCCAAAATCAACACCAGCGTCATCGCGTTGGCAACTTGAGCGATGATGATCTGAATGGGAGAGACGCTCTCGCCTTCTCCCAAATCATTGTTCCCAAATTCCGCATGACGAGACTTGGCCTCGGCGGGCGACAATCCCGAGACAGCATCAGACTTGAGCTCGGTGACCACTTGTTCCAGAGTGAGGCTGTGTGCCGGGAGGGACATTGGGCGGTTAGATTGACCGCTGACATGCGCCTCGCCGGGCGTGTTGGCCTGCTTCTTGGCCATGGTGGGCGGGTTCCTCCTGCCGGAGTTCCAGGTAGGAGGATTGTCTACTGGAATTTGCTTTTCCAAGGCAATTGCAGAGAATTGAAGTTGAAATAGCGCGTGGGCAGGGGGGTTATATCGCACGAACACGCAGGCAATGACGCGCAATGGAACAGAAAAGCGACCAAGAAGGACAGATCAAAGATCGGTCTGGCAGGCTGCGTCTTGGATTTTGTAAGGAACTGGATGGAAGGAAGTGATGCGGGGACGCGAAAACTTTTGTGCAAGGTGGCAAGGATTGATGATGTTCGCCAAGCCCCGCCAAGCCTCCGTGCAGGCTGCACTATGCACTACCTGTAACGATAAGGTGCTGCCAATCAATTAGCAGGTGCCTCCAGGTCCACCG